TTTATTTATTTATTCATATAAGAACTGAGGCTTAGGCCAGATGTGCAGGCAGTGAGAAGACACACCCGAGACAGAGTGGGGAGCAGAACAGGCAGAATGACAGAAATAAATGCTGAGGGGAGCAGTGGGAGTGACAGGAGAGGCCTGCTGTGCCATATCTGTGTCAGCTCCCTGGCTGGGTGTCGAACTCAGGCTGCAGTGCCTGGTTCAATAGATGGTAGTGCTGAGACTTTAGCCCCTGTGCCCGGGAGGCCTTGGCATGGGGTACTTACTTCTTATTTTCCAGTCAGGCAAGAAGGAACAAATCCCTTTCCCACATATTAGAAACCAACCATTTCTTCCTGACATACTCTTTTCTTGGCTTTTCTAGGCAAGCTTGAACTGTCTTCAACTGAACTAATTCATACTCTCTCTCTCTGGCTTTCTCCACTTTCCTTTTAAATGGTGTCACATGAATTGGCTTTTCTATGAATGCCAAGCATCAGAAAAGGGCAGTCATGGCCTCATGGTGTAAACAACATAATTGGGTCTATTGCTCGTGCCTAGACAGCCAAACTCAGAACCATGAAAATTGTTTTAAAGATACAGGGCAGCAAAGGGTACTAAACTAGGTTCAGAACACTGCCCAAATAGCTGACCAGTCACTGTCTGAGTTCTTCACTTGTGTCTGTCCACAATTACAAGACTACCCAGGCTCAGGAAGCAACAACAAATAATTTATCTAACTAACCAGGGGAAAACAGAGTTATGGAGGCCAAAAATGGCCATTACCTCACTTAAAGCTCTGGCCAGTGTTAGTCAGTCCTGTACAAAAAATAGTTAGAATGGCATCTTCCCGTCACTGAGGACAGAGTGTTCCTCTCCCAAACAATGGGCCATGTGCCTAAGATGGCGTCTTCCTGCTACTGAGGACACGTGGTAGCCAGATTATAGGTCTGTTTCTGACTCACACAGATGACAAAAAATACAACAGGAGATGTTCCATGAGGTGCCAAAATGCCCCCAAAACAGCACCAGGCAGCTGACCCTCAAAACAGCATCTACAGTGGTCAAATGACCTGGCAGATGGCCACACTCATGCATCTCAGTAGGACACCTGGTTCCGGGTTTCTGCCTTCTCTGCCAGGCCACAATGGCCTTCTAAAAGATGGGTTTATGGAGCAACGGGTTAGAACTCAGCATTATGGAGCAATCCACAATCACTGTAGCCCATGTTCGATTCCTGGCTGGCTGCACGGAGGCCGACCTCTCCTGGCCTGCCTGCTGCTCCCCTTAGCAGTGTATTTCAGTCTATCTGTCTCTTCTGCTCTCCACTCTGTCTCTGGTGAAATCTCTCACCTGTACCTCTGGCCTATACCCCAGTTCTAGTGTGCATAAATAAATAAATCTTAAAAAAAATAAAAGTTGGGTATGGTAGGAGCCCAAATCCATGATCCCAAATGCCAAAGATCCAGAAACTAAAGCTTAAAACACTAAATCACAACAAAGACTTCTTCTTGAGTCCACTTTTTTTTTTTTTTTTAAAGATTTTATTTATTTATGCATACAGAACTGGGCTACAGGCCAGAGTTGCAGGGGTGGTGAGAGGCTTCACCAGAGACAAAGCAGGGAGCAGAACAGGCAGATATACTGAAATACACCGCTGAGAGGAGAAGCAGGCAGGCCAGGCGAGGTCTGCTGTGCCATATGGATCACCTCCAGGGCCGGAAATCGAACTCTCACTGAAATGGCTGCAGCCAGATTGCAGTGCTGCTTCCTAACCTGTTGCACCATTGGGGAGGGCCTGAGCCCACTTCTTCAATCATTTATATCACTTCTCTGTCCCTTCACCTCACTTTTTAGGATTTTCCTTGGGGCTATCTAACCTCACCAGCAAACCCCTCTGGTGGCACCACCTGTAACAGTCTTGGCTCCACCCACCAGTTACATTAACAAGAAGGACTATTCTTTGAGATGGTCACCATGAGAGTCAGCAATCAGGTTACTACCCTAATAACCCTGACTCCCCAAATGGCATATTCCTGAAGTTTTTGCCTAGGGGAGTTTTGTTATTGTAAAACAGAGGGGATCTGGCTTCAATGATCTATTTTGTTCTAGGTTGAGATCTAATCTTAGGGGAAAGTTGCTCTCTTCGGTTTAGTCTAGTTTTTCTGGGTTGTTTGCACTGGGTTGGGGCAATCGTTGATGGACAATGACCAGTGTTGGCTGTGATGGCCACTGCTCCCTCCATGATTGTCCATATGAGCCTGAGCAGGAGTGCAGCACAATTCTGTCCCCTTACATGAAACACTCTATCTGGGCCAGTTGAGGTTTAGGCTTCTCATACTTGCCATCCCCAAACTTTCAGTCTATTTGCAAGTAAAAAATCACATCGACTACCGAATTGTATCCAATGAAATGGTTTGGGTTTAAATAACTGATTTAAGGGGAGGAAGTAGCCCTAAGACAAAAAATATTTCCATATTTGGTCTCCAAACCTGCTTCTGTTAGTTTTGGTCACACACAGTTTAAAAACCAATGTAGTATTCCTATGAGCCATAGAATCTGCTTCTTTATAGAAAGCTGCCTATAAGTAGTGAAGGCAGCTGGCACTGCTGACCTCCAGGGTGGCTCTGAGAAAGCGTGAGCACCCCCAGCTACCTGGTGTGAGCACTGCCCACACCGACCATCTTCTTCACTACTCCTCCAGGCTCCAACTTCCAACTCTCCAGCAGCCCCTCAACATGTGCTTGACCTGAACTGCCTCAATAGGCCAGAAGCCTTGCCACATCTTAGGAAGGAAGCAGGAAGGAGGCAGGTTCCAGCTATGACTTTTATGTTATGCTTTATAATACCCAAAATTAAATCCATTATTTTTCTGATTCTTACAGTGAAGCTTCAATTAGAGAAGGAATCATCACCCTCTTTTCATCTCCTGAGAGAAAAGGTCAATCATTCATGGCATAAATGCCTTGTGCAAGGTTGTGCTAGAGGTGATGACAAAGCTGGAATTTAGATTCCGTTTCCTCTGAATCCAACTTCTCCCATCTTTCCTGAGAGCTGCTTTCATCCTGTCCCCTCACTTCTGAGCAGGCCAGTGCCTCGTTTCCCTCCCAAGCACCTCAAGTCCGAGGCACAGCGCAGATGCGGTAGGTGACTGGGGAGATGGTGAGGCCCATTCTGAACTTCAGGCTCAGCTGCTCATTGTCTGGGGGCTTGAAGGTAAATTTTTGCATAAGGGAAGTGAAGAAAATAAACAACTCAGTTCTGGCCAACTGTTCTCCCAGACACACCCGCTTTCCTGAAAGACAGAAAAATAAAGAAGAGGTCATTGTCCCTGGTCATG